GGGATTAGGGGCATGCCCCAAACGACGATGCATTAACAATACCTTCTGTAGATTACTATTACGTAACGTATGAACCAAATTAGCTCTTCCAGGAGCCACGTCATCCACATAATATAGCCTCTCTCTCTTAGTGCCACGCCCAATGATCTCCTTTGTCTGAATATCCTAAAGCAAGCAAAATGAGGTGGCTGAAAGGAAAAACCGTCATATTTTGGAAACTGCTCGCTCATTGCTTATTGGCACGTCCGTACCTAAGAGTTTTTTACCGAATGCCATTACGTATTTTGTGTATGTCATCAATCGTATGCCATCTCGGGTTGTAGAATTTCGTACTCTACTCCAAGTTCTGACAGAACATGTTCCAGTTGTCTCTACCAACACTCTTACTCCTCGAGTGTTTGGTTGTGTTGCTTACGTTCATATCCACAAGATTCATCGTAGTAAATTGGATCCTTGTGCTCTTCGGTGTGTTTTTCTTGGCTTTGCATCCCAACAAAAAGGTTATAAATGCTATCACCCTGAAACCCGCCACATGTATGTCATTATGGATGTCACTTTCTCTGAATCTGAGTATTTTTATACTCTCGTATTCTCACCCTCCGATCCTAAGGGGAGAGTGTTATTTGTGATCTTGACGATGTGTTTGGGTGGTTGGATGTCCAATACGTGTGTCCTTCAGGGGGAGATGACAATACCGTGCCAAGGGAGGAAGCAAGGTCTTAGTTACTTCCTCCCGAAGATGATACAAATAGGCAGCCACTGATTGTCGCCTAGGAAACTTGTATCGAGAACCCCTGTGTTGCAAGTGGTGTTCAGCCAGTTGCCACCAAGGTTGAGTTAGCCTCACCGCAAGCATATGCCAAAGCTAGCAGCCATGAGATTTATGTCGAAGCTTTTCTCTCTCTAGCTCGATCGTGCCATCGTCTAATACGTCTTTTCTGAATATCCCTGAGGTAAGTACTAGTGATGCTCATGTAACTAATGATGTTATAAGTACATATAAACTGCCACCAAGGCAAAATCGTGGTGTACTTCCTGATAGGTTCTCTCCAGAAGGAAAAGTAAAGTATCCCATAGCAAATTATGTTTCGTGTGAAAACCTTTCACCTGAACGTCAAGCTTGGGTAAACAATGTAGAGTTAATTCAAGTGCCAACTCAGGTAGAGGAAGCCTTGAAGAGTCGAGAATGGGTGGAAGCAATGGATGAAGAGATGAAGGCACTGCAGAAAAATAATACATGGGAAGTAGTGGAGTTGCTGAAAAGGAAGAAGCCAGTTGGGTGCTGATGGGTTTTTACAATTAAATACAAAGCTGACGGTTCACTCGACAGGTATAAGGTGCGGTTGGTAGGAAAAGGATATACTCAAACATATGGTGTTGATTACCAAGAAACATTCTCTCCAGTAGCTAAGATGAATACGATACGAGTTCTTATCTCATTAGCTGCAAATTTGAATTGGCCATGGAAACAGTTTGATGTAAAAAAATGCGTTTCTTCATGGACATTCGGAGGAGGAAGTGTATATAAATTTTCCTCCAGGATATGATAATGGAGGAAAAACGGGAGTGTGCCGATTGTGAAAGTCTCTTTATGGGCTAAAGCAGTCACCTTGTGCATGGTTTGGAAGATTCACTCAGACCATGAGAAAGAATGGGTATTATCAGAGTCATTCTGATCATACTTTATTTGTGAAACTGAGGAATGGTAAAGTAATAGCTTTAATTATTTATGTGGATGATATGATAATAACAGGAGATGATTCAGACAAGATTGTCAAACTGGAAAAGAACCTTTCGGCAGAGTTCGAGATGAAGAGTTTGGGTGACTTAAAGTATTTTCTAGGAGTTGAGGTTGCTCGTTCGTCCAAAGGTATTTTCTTGTCTCAAAGGAAATATGTTCTTGATTTGTTAAAGGAAACAGGTATGCTTAGGTGTAAACCTGTGGATACGCCTATTATGGAGAAACATCACTTAGGATTTATCCGGATCAAGAACCAGTGGATAAAGGTAGATATCAGAGGCTGGTAGGAAGACTAATTTATTTAGCTCATACCCGTCCAGATATAGCCTATGCAGTGAGTGTGGTGAGTCAATTTATGCACTCACCAAGTGTGGATCATATGACTGCTGTTATGCGTATCTTGGCATATTTAAAGTCAGCCCCAGGGAAATGAATCTTTTATAAAAATTCTGGTTATCTAAAAATTGAGGGGTTCATTGATGCTGATTGGGCAGGTGATGTGACTGATAGGCGGTCTACTTCTGGATATTTTATGTTCGTTGGTGGAAATTTGGTTACTTGGAGAAGCAAGAAACAAAATGTGGTGTCTAGGTCTTCTGCGGAGGCTGAATTCAGAGGTATGTCGCATGAAGTGTGTGAAGTTCTTTGGTTACGTAAGTTTCTTTGGGGTCTTGGTTTCAAACCAAATGAGGTTATAGAGTTGTATTGTGACAATAAGTCGGCACGAGAAATTGCAGAGCATCCGGTACAACATGACAGAACGAAGCATGTGGAGGTTGATCGACATTTCATTAAGGAAAAGCTCGAGAAGAAGATTGTGTCAGTACCATTTGTGAACTCAGAAGAGCAGCTTGCGGATATCCTCATTCATGCTGTGTGTAGTAGAGTTTTTGGTGTCAAGTTGGGCATGTGTGACATCTATGCTCCAACTTGAGAGGGAGTGTTGCGTGAGTTGGTTTAGAATAGGAATGTAAATATTGTTTAGTTATTACACTCCTTTATTAGGAAGGATATTTCTTATGTCCTTTTTAGCTTACCTTGGAGAACAAGGATTGTATGTATTATATTCTCAATTATGCAATACATGAAAATTAAGCCGTAAAATTCTATTTTGTATATATCAAGCACATCAAATAAACTAATATACATCAATATGTACAGAAAATCCAGCCCCATAAAATTTCTAAAGCAAAATCAGAGTTTCTTCTACTTAGCGTTTAGGGCTATATTCAATGTTATTGATTTTAACTTCTTCTATTATGTACTCTCATGCTCTCTAATATTGCAAGGGAAAAAAGTTATGTCTTTAGATTGTTGGAGCAATAATAAAAAAATATAAAAATAACACAAGCATTCCAATAATAATAATCATAAAGAAATTCACAACATCAATTATATATAAGATAATATAAACAACTAGAAAGAAAGTTAGAAATACTAACAAGCTTAGAGATTGAGGCTTGCATAAATGCAATGTCTTAAAGACAAAATTTCACCCCTACTCTTGTGCTTGTAGTTCAGTAGGCGTCCGTCTCCTAAGATTCAACAATCTATAATTCGAAGTCAAAGTACTTCAATCTTCAGACTCTAGCGAACTTTATATATTCCGTACTCTCAAGACACGACTCGAAGAACAAACGAAGAATGAGAGAAATAGAGTGGGGAAACCCTATTTCTTAAGAGTAATTAATTATGTTATTTTCTACTTCTCTCATGGCTTAGTGTTACTAGGTTTATATAGAACCCGAGTGCCTTTTTCTAAACAGCATGACTAACTCTATACATATGTTTTGCGGTTCGCACCACTTCTATAACCATGACAGCCAATTAGCTATGACATAACTGTAAGTAAATTAGGGAAAGGTTACAACTATTATGTTTTCAATACTACACGAAAAGTGTTGCATTCTCTGTATGAAACACTTCACAAACTAATTTTTTCATTCAAACTAATATTAAATATTAAATTATTATATTATAATATTAAATATCCAATAAGAGGTACATTAAAGCTTGGTCTTTGGCATTGTTCTTCGGAGTACGATTCTCTTTTTTTTTTTTTTTTTTCTTCCATGAAAGAAGATAGAAAGAAAAAAAAGGAGAGAATCCTAGTCTTGTTCTTACTGGGCCCAAATCTCTGACATATAACATGCAAGGGTCTCAGTCTCGTCTCTCACACAATACTCTCTTCAAGAAAAAAAAGTAGTATATATCGGATTGAATTTGACCAAGGAGTATATATATTAATCAATGAGATAAGATTGAAAGAATTGGTAGTCAACTTGACCTCCAACAACCATCTACACTGCACCGAGCTATTAATTAAGGTACAATTTGGCTGGGACGTTCTGATCTAGAATAAGACCAGAAGAACATGGATTGTTATTTCTAAAGGTCGCGATGAAAAAAATCAGACCATCAATTCTTGAGTTTTTATTCAATGTGTCCATCTTCTGTCTGTCATATATATATATATATATATATATATATATATATGCATATATACATATATATTGTCTATTATAATTTAAGCAAAACAACAATACTACGTGACCGTATTAATTTTGAGTCCACCTCAAAAACTTTTTGTTAGATCAACATTCGAGTTGAGGCTCATTACATAAATACCCTGGTTAATATTTTTAATTATTAAATTGACGTGTCTACATAAAGGGTAAATTACCTTGATAGTTAAGAATTTAATCCTCAACCTAGTGCGTTTAGTGTTTAACTCTTCTTTTGATATTCGTATATTACAAATAATAAAACGAAATTTGGTGTGTCTACATGGGTAAGTCTATGTACGTGTCCAATTCGCATGCATGCATGCAGAGCTCAAACTAGACACGTGTCTTTGCTTGAACGCCTGAACAACATGTATTTCTTTTTTTTAAAAGATAATGTTAGGGAGATCAAATTTTTTAAACTCAATTTGCAAACCAAATGATATGATTGTAGATGATTGGATTATTAATTAAATGTCAATTAACGTACTTGTTTCTTATTGATGACACATTATTTGATTTGTAATTTAGTTTAAAAAATTTGATTTCCTTAGTATTATCCTTTTTCATATATCGAGCGGAAAAGAATCGAAGATGCATTGTTTATCCTAGTTAAGTCAAACCTACGTACATGCGTACGTACTACTCTGTCCATACAGCTAACAAAAATCTGCGTCCTCGCTCGTAAATATGCACTACTTCCATAATGTATACTGTCGTGTAGTAGCACCTCCCAGCACTATAAATTGACAATGGTGATCGTCGAAGTCTTGGCATTCACATCCTTCTAGTCTTTCTTGTTGGATTTTTGAGTAGCATAAGAGTTGGAGAATCATGAAAATTTTCAAGACTTTGATTTTGCTAGGCCTCCTGTTTGGCTCTGTTGTTCTCATCTCCTCCGCTGTTGAAGCCGAGACAACCAAAGATGAGAAGAAAGCTTCAACAAAAGATGAGAAGAAAGGTTAATTTATGAACTTCTGTATGTTAGTTAATATTGGTTTACATATTCTGCATGAAAATTTTCAAGACTGGTTTTGAAAGGCCTGCCGTATGCTAGTTTATACTTTACACAATACACGAACCTATGTACCCATTACATTTGCACGATCGATCAAAACCACATATATGCACCCAATTATTATGGAACAAAGAAAATGTGTACAAGAATTTGATATGTTTTCAGTAAGTTCATAATAGTGTCGTAGTTCGAAATTACATATTCATAGCTAGGGTTTTTTGTATTCATACTGCTCCGATATATGTACTGGATACTTGCTAAGGTCTACCAAGGGCTAAGAGAGAGAGAGATATATGTTTGTATATGGTGCAGTGGATAAGCCAAAGGAAGTTAACCAAGGTGGAGGTGGCAGATATTGTGGCCGGTGTTGCTATCGCTATGGCCGCTACACTTGCGGCGGACAGTGTTGTTGGCCTGAAGAATCAGAAGCGGTAGAGAATGAGCCAAAAGAAGTTAACCAAGGTGGAGGTGGCAGATATTGTGGCCGGTGTTGCTATCGCTATGGCCGCTACACTTGCGGCGGACAGTGTTGTTGGCCTGCTGAGCAGTCCGAAGTAGTAGTTACCGATGAAGGAACAGAATCAGAAGCGTTAGAGGACAATTTTGAAACAAAGCAGCCTGATGGATATGGCGGCTGGGGAGGAGGGGGACGGGGTGGCGGCAGCGGGGGCAGGGGAGGAGGGGGAGGCGGTGGCGGCGGCGGCAGGGGCAGGGGAGGAGGGGGAAGCGGTGGTGGTGGCGGTGGTGGCGGGGGCAGGGGAGGTGGCGGCTGGGGAGGAGGGGGACGCGGTGGCGGCGGGGGAAACTGAAGCCATATGCCTAGGTATAGGCTCGAAGCTAGACCAACTTAATATATATGAGAGTCTACATGTGCACATGTACAGAGTTGTAGAAAAATATGAATAAGCTCCGTGCATGCATGTATATAGGAATGGGATCATGTAGTATATATGTACAAGCATGAGAGCATGGCATACGTGTCAAATATCACCACCGATAAAGTTGACCCTAGCCAGCTCCAAGGACTGATGATAGTCCATGGAGCTCTTTCATGTGTTAAATATGTGTAGTTTGTAGCCCTTGTACTCATACGGGGTAATGTTATATGAAGCTATATATGTACTGCTCTTTCTAATAGTACATATTGCCAATGAGACATCAAATGTTATCCACATCTATAATAACACCATTTTACGCCAAAGTAGAAGGGTTGATGGAAATCAAGTAAATAAAAATCTCCGGACTACTTCCAAAGTTTGGAATTAAGCAAGGTATTTTCGTCAAATGATAACAAACAGGGGAAAACGAAAACCAACAAAATACAGAAAAGGTCCAGGTATTCTCACACCGGTAATATTGCTAGGAGACTAATGTGTGGATTCAATTTTATAAACTAATGACATAAATTTGGTATTTGGATTATTAGTTAAGTATTAGTTAATGTGCTTATTTTTTATTGGTGACGTATTATTTAATTTGCAAATTTAGTCCATATATAAATTTAGTCTACCTAGCATTACTCATCTTCAACCTTTTATTTCTTACCAAGTATACAGGCCAATCACAGACCTGTTGGAGTTCATCTTTATTCATGTTTGTACTTAGGGGGTTGGGTCTCATAGTCATTGTGGAATAGTAAGACCTGACTAATCTGTAGGGATTAGATTAAATAGCACCGGGATCTTCTTATTAGTGTTGATGAATTATATAACTTGAGACTAAAGGAGTTCAAAGAGTCTAGAACTCTAAAGTTGGCGTGAGGATCAAGTAATAGGCTCTTCACGTGAGTTGTAGAGTTCTTCTATGGACGAAACTCTATGACTTGTGCCAATATAAATACAAGTGATCTCTGCACACCTAATAGAAGCACCAAAGTTCTCTACTCCCCATTGAGCCGTTGCATCTAGGGTTCGTAGTTTGTAAAATGTTTTCTTGAGGTTTAATTAACGGTGAAAGATGTACATGCATGGTGGCTGCAATTCTATTCAACGCTCATAAGATTCTTCAGGTAAGTGTTATATTGTGTTTTTAGTTGTTTGTGATCATTAAGATCAAACACGAGGAAATTTTTCAATGGAGGCATTTTTGTTGAGAATGAATCCCACATTGATGGGAAGAGACCTTGTATGAGCTTATAAGTGTCAATTGGTTTTATGGTGAACTCAACTTTCTTTATGGTATTAGACCAGGTTGTCTCACGTATGAAGTCAAATAGTCACATGTGCTCTACGTCACTCCGTTAGGTTGTCCACTCATTGGGCATTCGCCACACATAAGGGGGCATATTGCGAATGAATATAACCATAAAAATATGAATGCTTCTTTCTAAAAGAGTAAGGATGAAAAGAATCAGATCAGAAATATCAATCGTTGAGTTTTTATTCCATGCAAATGTAGAAATGTATAATCCTATAAATGTTATAATGAAGACAGACGATATTATTAATATATTCTCTTTTCAAAATATATTAGTAAAAATAAATTCACGTATGATTTGAATGAGATAGTAATCAGATTGGACAATACCAATAGGTGGAGTATATGTGGCTGTTGGGTTTCACCCTATCGAGTGAATTCCACATTGGAGAAATAAGGGACCTTGCATGTGCTTCTAAGTAAATTAGGCTACTCTTCATATTGGAAATTAGTATTATGGTGAAACCTCAACTTGCTTCGTAGTATTAGAGCAATTTGTCCCACGTGTGAACTTCCACGGCCACACATGCTTCAAGTAACTCTCGTTCGTGTTGTCTACATGTTATTCTTGAAAGTTTGTCACACGTGGGGAGATGTGTTAAGAGTGTCCCACATCGGGAAAAGGAATTACCTTATATGTGCTTAGAAGTAAATTGAGTGACTTGGTGCACCTGTGTTCACACGAGGAACAACCTGCTTTGATAACATAAAGAAAGTTGATCTTTCACCGTAAAATCAGTTATAGCAATATGGGTAGTAGCTCAACGTACTTATAAGCCCATGAAAATTCTCTTCTTTCATCAATATGGGATACAATCTTAACACATTTCCTCATGTGACTGAATTTTGAAACCTAACACGTAGACAACATAAGTTGGATGGCGCGGAGCATATGCGGTCGTTGAGCTACACACTTGGATAACTTATTCTGATACCATGAAGAAAGTTGAGGTTCCACCATAAAATCAATTGACATGGTGAGTAGTTCAAATACTTATAAGCACATGCAAGATCTTTTTTTTCTCGATGTGGGATTCATACTCTTAACTAGACCTGACACTTTACACGACTCATTAACAAGACACGTAAACGACACGAAAATAATGGGTTTCGAGTCAACACGATAACTAATTGGGTCATACGATAGGTTTACACGAGGGTGACACGCAGGTAACCTGTTTCAACATGATAAGAAAAATATTATTTTGATGATTTTAATTTTTTAAACTAATAAAAAAACTTATAAAATACAATATCCATAGTGTATATGTATATATTGTATATCAAATATGTATCATTGTATTATTATTCTATATAAATTTAAAAAATTTAAGTTTGATTTATTTATTTTTATAGTATACTATAGGCAAAGAATGATATTAAAAAATTACAAAACATATTAAAAATAAAAATATCAAGTAATTTAAAAATACCAAACACATTAAAAAACGTATAATGTGAAAAATGTGAAAAAATAGGCAAACGCTCATGATCGCATCTTCTACGCTTTATGGATGGGTACATCACCATTTAAATTATGAGAATCATACAAATCCTCATGAATAGTATATTTAAGGGAGTTTTAAATAAATAAAGTTCATAATCATTAATTTACAAGTGTGAAAAATGTGAAAGCAGATTTAAACGCTCGTGATTGCATCCTCAACCTTAAAACGCAACTTTCTTCGTTTGTATATCCTTGAACATTTGGTATTTTTTAGTAATGTACTAATGTTTTTCATTAGGCTCTTATTTTGGGGTATGTAATACTTAAAAAACAAATGTTTTTATTTTTTATTTTTTATTTTATGTTTCAAAGTAATATTTATGTGACAATGTAATATGCTAATTTAGTATTGTGTTTTCCATTTTTTTTTTTTTTGTCAATTTATATTTTTCATTTTCATTATTTCTGGATTTAAAATATATTTTCTTTAACAGGTGACGGGTCGGATCATATTATCCTATAATATTAACGGGTCGATTTCGAGTCGGGTCATATTACCCATTTACTTCAATGGGTGTTACACAACACGACCCGTTAAGATATCAAGTATGTCACGAAAACGACACGAACACAAAAAACACGACACGAATAACAGGTCTACTCTCAACATAGATGACCATGTCTAGAGTGCATATCGAAAAATTAGTCTAATCAACATTGAGATCGGGGCTCATCAGTAGCATCAATACCTACTACAAAGAGTAATGCTATGGAGATCAATTTTTAAAACCAAATTGCAAACTAAATAATGTGTCACCAATAAGAAACAAGCACATTAATTGACACTTAAAATAATCCAATCATGTACAACCACATCATTTAGTTTGCAAATATGGTTTAAAAAACTTGATCTCCCTAGCATTACTCTACTACAGATTTTAATTAATTTATTAATTATTTAATTGATGTATTTACACAAGTGATAGATTGTATTTATACTAACCCACTATGTATCGGATTCAAAATTTTCATCTACTATAGTATATATTAAGATAGAAATATCTTTTGAATGTAATATTTTTAAAATAATAAATAAAAATTGCACTGTATATGTGGAGAAATTTTTTCATCTAAAACTTGAACATGGTGGCCCTTTGGGCTGGCATACGTATACGTGGGAGAGAGTGGGGTCATTACATGGAGTAATGGTAGGCTTCAATGTGAGGAGGGATGGAGTATGCATGTGGGCTTTATTGTGTCTGGGGCTGCATTGACACGTAGTCTGAATGCTAGACCCCATAAGTTCTCGTCAAGTAAGTGTATGTTGTTGTAACTTGTAAGACTAAACAGACCTTTAAAAACAACGAAGAAGATGAAGGCATAGCTGACTTCAAGGGTAAAATTCTCCTCTCTTGCAGAAATATGCTCTACTCATAATAGGTCTAAGTTTAATAACAAGTCAATTTTTTCTATGAGCAGTGACCATTATTTATATAAGCAAACAATCCATATGGTTCTCTTATTAGAACTCACATCGAGCACCAAAATAGTCTCCTTATCAAATTATAAGTAGTAAAAAACCAGTTTACGTACTAATAAAGTCTAATTCCATGTAAATTATGACAAAATAACCCCCTTTCCTTAAACCTTTTATGCACCAATTTGAATCAACCGACTGAAAATCAATCACTTTTTATATTCTTAAATAGGTATCCAGATTCGCATGCATGATGAGCTCAAACAAAACATGTCTTGCTTGAACGCCTGAACCACTTGTGTTTATCCTAGTTAAGTCAAACGTACGTACCCATACGTACAATACTCTTTCCATACTGCTAACTAAAATCTGCTTCCTCGCTAGCTAGTAAATATGCACCACTTCCATAATGTCTACTGCTTGCCTGCTAAACCCCCTTACGTTGTCGTTTAATAGCACCTCCAGCACTATAAAAACAATGGTGATAAACCTTAGCATTCACTTCCTTCTAGTCTTATTTCTTGTAAGATTTTTGGGTAGCATAAGGTTAATTAGAGAATCATGAAAGATTTCAAGGCTTTGATTTTTTTAGGCCTTCTGTTTGGCTCTGTTGTTCTCGTCTCCTCCGATGTTTGACATTTAAAGATGAGAAGAAAGGTTAACTATTAATTAGTGCATGCAGTCTTCTT